GCTCGAATCATTCTCTGTCGAACGATGTAGAATACATCTATTTCAACCCTTTTTCTAGCAAAATCCTGCCAAAAATTCTCTATGGCAAAAACTGAAAATTGTCTCCCTTCTAACTCAGCCAGTATGACTCGTTGGGAATTGAGTAGTTGGGAAATTTTTGACTTGACTTGACTTGGCTTTTGAGCTGAAACCTAGTGAACTATAGGTAGTCGACCATGTTGATTCCGAATATCAGCATGAGATGGGCCGCTTGGCCTTAAGAGACTGGTTTGCTGGAAAACCAGTTTTCCATAGCGAAAAACGTTTTTTGCCAAAATTTCTTTTAATATTTCCGGATTGAAGACCACGTCGAGTTGACTATAAAAAGCTATTTTTTGATATTGCGTTGATCCTCTATTTAAAACCACTGGCATTTACTTCAGTTGAAACCCCTGGTGAATCAAAGAATTACGCTTTTTTCAGCCTAAATAATGATTGAAAAATTGGAAAAATAGTTTTTCATAGTCAACTCGACGCGCTCTTCAATCCGGGCAGATCAAAATAAAATTTTGACGGAAAAAGTTCTTCGCTATGGAAAGCTGGTTTTCCAGAAAACCAGTCTCTTGAAGCCTAGCATCCTGTCTTATGTTGATATTCGGAATCAGTGCCGCCAACGTTACAATGGAGTGACAGATGACGAAAGGCAGATCAAGAAGCATATTTTGTAAGCAGTTTTCATGTTCCTAAATTTCGTTCCAAAAGTTTTGTTTCGTGCCTGAAAAATTAAGGTGTTAGTCTAGTTTTTTTTAGTGCCGCGTTTGAATCTCCGAGCAAAACCTATTTAACAGCAAGAATCACATTTTATTCAAGCAAAGGGCTGAACAATTAAGTTTTACTGTGACTTCTAGTATTTTGAACATTGTAATATTTAGTTTAAGAAAAACATATGAATAAAATCTGTGCGAAAACTCTCGAGTTTTCAACATTAAAGTAAAATTTTCTGATCATGGATAACTTGGAAAAAAATCGTTGTCAAAACCGGCAATTTTCTGTTAATCATCTGCTAACGATGATGGATGGTGCCATGCGGTATTTATTTTGCCCAGATTTTTAGAATAGTCTTTTTTTTTCTTGAAAAAAGTGTCATCTGAAGACAAGCTATTTCCACTTACTCTCTACCAAATAACTCCGTCACCAGTTAGAAGTGAAAATAAAAATACTCCGTGCCCGTACTTCTACAGTTATAGTAAGTTACGAATAATTATTTGATTTAATAATTTTTTTTTCTAATTTTTAGCAAACTGCTATATTGTCAGATCTTGTATCAACACAGAATCTCTTTCATGAATTAATATCGGGCAAAGATTTCCATCGATTTTCGCTTCAATCATCTTTTACAACCGACACATATCAAGACAAAACGAAAACTTAATTATACACAAATAGCTGAACGAACAAAATAGGAGCTGCTGAAATAATACTTAAACATGGATGACATCGAAAAAGATTTATTAAAACTATGTTTAAATATAGATATATTTTTTGTATATAGAAAAAAATAATATGTTTCGTCCATATGAGCTAAAACTGTTATAAACATTTTTCTTGTTATTCTAAGTTAGGATATAAAATTTGATATTCATACAATTTTTCCTTTTAATCCTCTTTTGTGTATAATGACTATTATAACAATGAAAATTTACGTGAACAGGTGAAAATATCTATTCCATATGATACAAAACAAACTTTATGGCAAAAACAGCGTACTTTGACGTTACTTTTTTCTTCAGATCGAAAAAATTTTATTTAAAAAATGTTTGTGTGGCGTATCGATTGTCCGAAATTTTATATTACAATATTTCTTTTTTTTATCTGGTCAGGTATACGCTTTTGAATAGACACAATCGTTCACTGTTAATTAAGAAGATAAATGAAAAGTTTTTTTTGTTAAATTATTATTGTAGTTTGAGTGTTCATTACATATCAGTTCTTAGAAAAATGCATGATTGCATGATAATGTGATAAAAATAAACTAATAAATAGCATTATGAGATAAAATATTTACTGATATATTTTACCCTATTTCTCAATCAGACCGACTGCATATTTAAGTATTTTTATGATTTAGTTTTGTAGTGCAAACATTTTTGCTACAAAATGAAACATGGCAAAGATCGTCATCTCTTTTCCTTTTTTCCCTAATCACTTCTTGACAAAAAGAACCATAAATCAAGATACCGATCGTAGAACGTTTAGTAAACATTTTTTTTTCTAATGCCTGAATTAAGACGAAACATACTGTCATATTTCATTTTGTAAAAGTATATTTTGCGTTATAAAAAGCTTTTTATGAAAAAATAACAACACGAAATTATCATCACTAAATACCGATGCATGCCTATAGAGAATTTCATTAGTAATAAAGATCAATTATTTGCTTTGGGTTAATTATCATTTACTGTCTGTTGATTGACTACGGCTTTGCTTTAATAGAACATAACTGTTCTTCGATAGAAATTTGTTTTTGCATATTTATTTATAGAACTGTCACTGTTGCTAATGTCGAACTCTTCTGTCAAGGAAAAACGATATTTTCAACGTATTCTTGATTATTTTCCAAGTATTGAAAATGATGCATCAAAAATCACGTGGGCTCATGCTGTTAATTCTCACCAAGAACTGAACGTTGTTTTGAAAAGTAAGATTTTCTTTTTTTTATTTGACAAATAGAATTTTAGTATAATGTTATTTACTATCTTTCTTGTTTAAGGTCAGATGATGTTTATTGAAGCTGATGTATTAATTGGACGATCTCCAACATCAGAGAGTGTAGCAATTATGGCACATCCTCCTAATACATCCAGTGATTTGGATTTTACTACGTTTCTTCAATTGGCAAAATCTAGTGAAAAGGGATTAAAATTAGATTTTAAAGATATTAATGCTGTACAATCGTGTGTGAATGAACTTGAATTGCAAAAAGAACAGGTAATATTTTGTTTATTTGTTTTTATTTTCTCGATATATATAAAAATATTATTTTCTTAATTTTAGATAAATGGTCCAATTTTGTTAAATGCGGATATTGTACATGGTGGTTTTGGTTCTCGTGAACCGATAAATGCTGAAAAATTTCTTCATGAATGTTTATCCTTTTCATTCAATGTAGCACGACAATTAACAATTGGTTTCTCTATCGGTTGGACAACAACGTTTTCACCCTTGATGCCTGATCTTAATCGTTATACCTGGTCAACTATATTAAATATGTACAGAACTGTAACAAAAGATTATATAACGAAAAAAGAAAATTATTCACTATTAAATTTTGAAATTACTTATCCAATACGTGCATCATGGGCAGTTCATTCATTTTATCAATTACATTGGTTAACTGATTTAACAAAATCAGGATTAACATTTTGGTCACCCGTAGATGAATTTACAATCAAAGATTATCCATCATTATTATTATATCGTTCAATTTATTCAAAATCACTTGTTTATTATGATTTACCATCACCAATTGATAAATATATTCAAAATAATTTTTATAATGATAACTATATTAATAATTCATTAGAATCATTTCCATCTATGAAAGATTTTTGGCAAACAGATAATTCTGATGATATTCTTTTATCACAATTTTCAGCACTATTATTAAAATCACACGTATTTTTACGTACAAAACAAACATCATCTAAATTAACTAATCAAAGTTGTAATTGGATAGGTACTATTGAATTTCTAGAAGAAAATACGGATTCATCACAGGCTGTTCTGTGTTATCTTGCTGAAATAAATGATTTATCCAAAGCAGGTAAATAAAAGATTATCGGTAAGATATATGTCTGTTTAATCATTCTTATTTTTATTCTTTTAGGAATGACTATTACAATTTGGAAAAATGGTACTATTGAACTTATATATCAGAACAATAGTGGTACATTACAAATTGATAAATCTAATGTATTACCAAGTTCTGTTTACTCATTTAAACTTATCGATATGAATTCATCGATTCAAATTGAAATATCATCGGATAATCCCTATAATTTAATGAGAAATGAAACAATTCCTGTACTCGTAAAATTGACAGCTTATTTAGATCCGCCTAATACACAATTTTCATCTTCATTATCAGTAGATAATTCCAAAAAAGCTTATCATGCTGCTGTCATGGGACGAAATATAGATTCAGGTTTAGCGATAACAAAATTTCATATTTTTCAACATGAGGTAGCTATTGAACGCATGTCTTAAACAATCTGATAGTGAATTCTATATATATCTGTATATATATATATATATATATATATAAGTTTGTATATCTAATTTTATTTTCAGCAAGCAATGCATTTATTGATATCATCAATGTCGAGTATGACTTTTAATATGCCTCAAAGTTTAGTGTTTGTCTATGTAATATATCTCATTTTTATAACGTAAAAAGAAAAATCTAAACAGATGAATGACATCTATTTAGTGTGTGTAATCAGATCTTTTTCTTTTATATTTTTGCTAGTTGTACTTCGTGCTTTTTTTTTATCAAAATCAACTTTTATTTAATGTTGAGATAATAATATTTGACAATTGAAAAGGGGACCCTAAGCATCAATGTTTCTATTTTAACTATGCACAGAAGATTCAATGTTTGATGGAATAAATAATTTTCTTTTAAAAAGTATGATAAAATTTAACTTTTTCCATATCTTTCAATGATACAAAAATATCAATATCTTTAACGACTTTTAATGGGGAGAAAAGAAAATCTTTTAAGGAATAGGTGTATCCCTTCGTTTTCTGTACTTTTCGGTCTTGTTTTTATTTGTCAAAATGTTTTTTGTCTTAATTTGATCATTTTGTTTCTTTGTTTCGATACGTCTAGATGATTTTGGATGCGAGAATCCTGAAATTGTTGTTGTATTTTTTGAAATTAAATGTTTACCAATGTTTGTTTTTGAAAACTCTCTTTTAAATAATGGTGACATAATAACATAGAAAGGAAATGATATTGCTTGTGGAAAATATGAAATATAATAGATGGTTAATAGACCATAGCGAAATGCATTTTGTTGATATTGTTGACAAGAATTAACAAATAGTACAATGAAAACTTGAGGTAATTCGCATAGTAAACAAACAAATGGACCAATAATTAATTCTTGACGTTGTTTTAATTGATAAATCAGCATTGTTGAACGTTTCATAAGTCTTACATTTGCTTTAATTCGTGTAATTTGTATTATAATTACTATTGCACAAACACAATTGATAATAAATGGACCAATATAATCCAAAAATGATAAAAATATTTCATATGAACGAAATCTATATGTTTGAACACACCATACAGAATTATCAGATGAATCTATTATTATATTATGTTGTACAATTAATGGTGACGAAGTGGAACATGTACATAAAATTAATAATAGAGACAATATACAAGCGCTTAATGGTGATTTTATTTTGTTAATATATTTATTTGTGGCAAATAAAGCTACTAGAGCACGTTCACCAGCGACAAATGCTAATAGCCATGGACTAGTACGTGATAATGCATTTAATAAATAGGGTAATGACTTACATAGTACCTGATTTAATTTTATTTCAATTTTATTTGTTCTTGATTGTCGTACATGAATAAGTCGAAAAAATAATGCATAAAGTGTTAATAAACTTACAATGGAATTAGTTAATAAATAAATACCAGATCCATTTTTACGTGATGCTTTCCTTGAAAATGTTATGAAACTAAAAAAATTAAATACTGAACCGATAACTAATAAAATAATTGATGGTACAAAATGTAAATAAGTATAGGGAGATGAAATCACTGGTGAAAAATCTTGGCCAACTAGTGATTCGAGAGAAAATCGATTACCATAACTTGAAAATTGGCATAATCGACCTAAAATGATATTTGACATTTGAATGAGTTATTCATTGTTTTGTTGTTGTTGTTGAAAGACTCACCATAGGCACAATTTGGACAAACACAAATCCAATCACCCTCATTATAAATATTGCCATGAAGACAAACACCCTTCTGAAGACAGGTTTGATTTCGACAAATATGAAAATGATGATCGTATAGATAACATTGAACAGGATCATTATGTTTATCACAAATACATAAATAATCTTCATCAAAGAAACATTGTAGTGACTTGTCATATTTACATGGTAAATGATAATTTTTAACATTGATTGGAATATTAAGTTTTTCAAATAACGATTTTACATTAGAACATTCAACTCTATTTGTTATACTAACATTTTCTATGTCTATTGTGCAAGCATGATACAATAAATACAAATGAAATTCTACTTGATTGTCAAATTGAACGTATGTTTGTTGTACAGCTAATGGTAATAAACGTTTCTGGCGACGATACTCTATTGTACTTGGTAAATATGTATGATGATACAATGTTTGTTGTTCAATATCAGAACTACCATTCGAATTATTGATTAGTTGAATGACACTTGCGCCTTTGAACGAAAAAAAACAAACAAACAAACTATCCATTATTCTCGAGCTATTGAGAGGTGAACGTTTAATGAAAGCAAAAATAGATGGCAGTCATTTTTACTTACCTTTTGTTTTTGTTAATAATGGTGATGTTAGAGTTAAATTTTGTACTATTATAACAGCTGTACGTAGAAGACAACTAGGACCATGATAATCAGATGTACACTGACAAAAATATTCATATTCCAATCCGTCCATATAGACTGGATGACATGTTCCATTATGTTGACAAGGATTAGATGAACAAACTGCATTATTCATTAGACATTTTGGACCGAATTTATTAGCAGGACAGATACATAAATCTTTATCGGTACTTTGTTTTGATAAACATAATGCTTGATATGAACATTGGATATTAGTACAAGAATTTTCATTGCTATATTGACATTGTTCACCATAATAACCACGTTGACAAACGCAATGCGTTTGATTTTTATCATTTTGAATTTGATGACAAGTCCCATTGTTTTCACATTCATTTATTGCACATAATTGTATTATTGTTTGATCATCTGCAAATGATAAGAGTTTCGATAATCGATTTGAAGGTAAAAAATGAAATTTAATGTCATATTTCCAAACTGCTAATAAATTAATTGGATTTTTTTCATTTGTTGATGTTGTAATATTATAAGCTTCTATACGTACATTACATTTATGATCATAACGATATGCGATACGATTGAATAGAAGATAACGTTGATGTTTATATTCCCATGAATGAAACAAAACATCATAAAATGTTATTTGATCATGTACAATCATGTTGCAAACAAGAAATACAAAAATACGTAAAATAGGTGTCGTTAATGCATGTATATGTGACAGACGATTTATACGCAATCGAATGGTCATTCGATGACGTTGATATTCACAATTTAAACCGTAATATGCTGGTGAACAAAAACATGTCCATGTTGAATTATTTTTGATTAATAATTTGCCTTTATTACAATGGCTAGTAGATTTTTGTTGTGAACTACTTTCATTTTTCGAAATAGAACTATTATCGACCGGACATATATCATTGTATTGATGGTACCATCCACGATCATCATCGCGATATTTATAAGTATCACGATCACGTACGCGTGATGATGGACACCATAAAAAGTTTTCTAATTGTGAACAATGTGGTTCTATTGTTTTACATCGTAACTCTGAATTTAAACATATACCATCAATACATGAAAATCGATTTTGTGAACAACTATTATTCATTTTCCAGTAACATAATGTTTCATCTTCATTTTTTGAACAATCAGCAACATTATCACAAACATGTTGGTATGAAATACATGTACCTTTAATTGAAAAACAAATTATATTTCCTATTACAATATGAAAGTAAATCAACAAACCATTATCACATTGAAAACGATCGCCCAACATTTTTCCATCTGCACATGTCAACGTATTTCGCTCATCGCTCCCACCTATACAATGTACAATATTATCACCAGCATTTTTATAACTTAAACACGGTCGAGTATTATTAGGATTTTGTAAAAATTCATATGTAAAACAAACATGTTCACTAATAGGATCGCACATTGATGCCCATATATTAGTTGTTAACTTTTTTAATGATATAACAGTACAATTAAGTTCATCAAAACCATCTGGACAGTCCCATTCTCCATCACACATCCATTCCATCAATATACATTGACCAGAACTGCATTGAAATGTCTCATTTCTACACGTCCAATTATGACAATCTTTTTCATCCGAACCATTAATTAAGTTAAAAAACGAATTACAATAATCGTTAAACGGAAGTTTAGCGTCTGACAACGAACATTTTTCTTTTAATAATTGACAAGCAAAATCACTATCGTCCAAACATTGATATTCAGACCAATCGTTAGTTTCCGATATCTCATCTGATCCATCATCACAGTCATCGATACCTGAAAGAAGAAGAAAAAAAAGAGAGAAGAAAGTTTATAAAATAAGATTTTAGTTTTAAGCAAGTCGAACACCCGAGTTATAAGAAGGACTAACTATATTTACCATCTCCTAATAATTGTCGAAGTAATGATCGCTTATTATCCAAACATGTATAATGACTTTTCTCTCGATTGGTCGAATTATTAGTTATTGTTATTATTTCATCTTCTTTCGACAATAAACAGTCAAAATAACCATCTCTAAGACGATGTAACGATATATTTTCTTGAGTTGAACATAAAAAGCCATTAGCGGTAAGTAATGATGATTGCGCTAATGACTGTGAATGAGAACTCAAGTTACAAAATAAATAATTAAATGGTGGATACGGATAATTTGCTGATTTAATCGTTGTATCCAAATAACATGTCTTATTATCAATTGTTGTTGATATGTTTTGATTACATACAGATGTTCCTTCTAGACAATATGCGTGAGGTTCAATATCATATGGATCGTCTAATAAACGTCTCGGATCATAGGCTGTGTATAAATATGGTGTATAAATGGCTTGAGATGGATAATAGTATAATGATGACTCATTTACACAATTGTTTCTGAATATTTCATCTATTTCATTGTCATAAAACACCTTCGGCAGATAATATTCACAATCTGTAACATTATCCCATTGTGCGATATTGTCAGTGTTATTTGTTGATCTTGTACATATTCCATTGGAGGATGTATGCAGATTTTCTAATTCACATCGAAAACTAAGATGTCGATAGTTTTTACACAATGCTTGATTATTATTTGTTAATGCTTTATGCCACGGCATACAAGTACCATCACCACATGAATACCATTCTTTGCTGCAAATACGTTCATCACATTCCATTCTTATATCGTTATAACACTGCTCAAATTTTTCAAATTCACGTTTTCGTTGTTCATCACTCGAATCCATACAATCGAGATCACCATCAAATAGAAACTCTTCAGGTATGCACATTCCATTACGACAACGAAATTCATTTTTCTCACAAATATTGTGTTCTAAAATGTCACAACTTCGTTCATCTGCACAATTTTGACAATGGCAAGTACCATCGCATATATTCCGCGAATCTAAACACAAACTTCCTGTTTCACAATCTGGTATATCTTTGTAACATGTTGTGTGTTGATATAAAGGTAATCTTTGATCATTGGATAATTGCATATATTTTCGGCTTGAACTGTTGGTACTAATAACGAGTTCAAACAATAATAGAATCAATGAATAATACATTGAAACAACGGTACATAAAAATCACAGCTGGAATTAACTTGTCAATTTCAATTATTGAAAATCACAATTATTTTGACTTCATTTTTTAACGATTCCTATCAATTATCTTTTTTGATGTGTGCTCTATGAGAAAGAAAAAGTTCTAATTTCTCTATTGAAACAGTCATAATTCACAAATATTAGATTTAAAAACAATTAATGCAAGTTTATTTATAGACATTCTGATTAAATATTAAATATTGAACAACACGTACTTGATTATTGGATTGAGAAAACAACAGTTGTCTGTGGTAACTGATACTTTTATAAGATTATATACCTAATTATTCTAAATATTTACAGGAAAAAATTATTCTAACAGCATGATTTCGATTATTCGTTTAGATGCCATCAGTACAAACCTCTGCTAAATGCTATGAAATCACATGCGTCCGTAGTGTTAATCGTTGATTTATTTTCATTATTACTAATGCAATAAAAGCTTCACAAACAATCTCGTGACTTTATTTCTCAGCCCTTTTCTTAATGACACAGATGGTTCTTTGCCATTATATGTGTATTTCAACGGTATTCGATCAGATCTGTGAGAATAATTTTAATTATAATAATTTTTTCCTGTACATATTTAGAATAATTAGGTATATAATCTTATAAAAGTATCAGTTACCACAGACAACTGTTGTTTTCTCAATCCAAT